TGGTTGGGTATTCCAGCATGACAATGATCCAAAACACACGGCCAAGGCAACAAAGGATTGGCTCAAGAAGAAGCATATTAAGGTCATGGAGTGGCCTAGTCAGTCTCCAGACCTTAATCCCATAGAAAATCTGTGGAGAGAGCTGAAGGTTCAAGTTGCCAAACATCAGCCACGAAACATTAATGACTTGGAGAGGATCTGCAAAGAGGAGTGGGTCAAAATCCCTCCTGAGATGTGTGCAAACCTTGTGGCCAACTACAAGAAACGTCTGACCTCTGTGATTGCCAACAAAGGTTTTGCCACCAAGTACTAAAGCACGTTTTGCAAAGGGATCAAATACTCATTTCATTCATGAAAATGCAAATTACTTTATAACTTTTTTTGTAATGCATTTTTCTGGATTTTTTGTTATTGTTGTGTCTCTCACTGTTCACATAAACCTACCACTGACATTGTAGACTGATCATTTCTTTGTTAGTGGGCAAACTTACAAAATCAGCTGGGGTTCAAATAAGTTTTTCCCTGACTGTAAATACAAAGTTTTGACAGAGACTTAGTTTCCCATGATGGTTAAAATCAGGTTATTCCAACTACCTCAACTATACCCATTTCAATTCCCATTTTTCTCATGATATCCCACAGAGAAACTAAATACTGTCACACAGTAACCAACACTGTCAAATACAAAAGAGGTTAATGTTCTAAAATATCTAGATCAGCCTCCTCAAAGCTGAGAAAAGCCAGTCAGGCCATCCAGAATCTTACAGGCGTTCTTGCTGGCGTTGTCCATGGAAGTCATCCTGGCGCTCTGCTCGCTGGTGGACGACTCCCTCAAAGCTAGGTAGACGATGTTGACCAGGGCAAACTCCTGGTAGTTCCTCAGCACATCAGCATCAATGTCATCATAGACTGTCATGTTCTCTGTTGGAAGGAGGGGGAAACAGGATGAGTTTCTGTCTGGCTGCGGCACCTGAGGCTGAGTGTAAAACTGTTAACATAAACGACACAACAGTACTACCTGAGTTTGCAACTGTGTCTGCGGAAAATACAGGCTTGTGCTCTGTCCTGTACGAGATAACAGACCTGCATCGGGAGAAATGATGCATTCATATCTGTCTGCAATACAACTTAAGTCTTTAACCCATTAAACAAACAAGTCTTTGAGCATGTGCACACTGAGCCAAACAATGAAAAAAAAAGTCATACCTGAATCTGTTGAAGATGACGGAGCCCTGGTCAAACTCATATCCCGAGTTGAGCAGCTCAGTGGCGATGAGGGAGGCATCGCCGAAGCTGGGGGGCTTACGACCGACTTCCTTACAGTTCAGCATGATGTGCTCTCCATGAGTTCTGATGGGGGACATTTAAATGATCATTACCTGCAGAATTTCATTCCATGATTATGTTCTGCTTCTGGGACAGAGACCAATTTAAACGTAACAGGAGATGTCACCAACGCCCTGACCTGAACACTGTTGCACCCTGCACAGAAAGAAACTATGTACAGTTTTATTATTAGAAAAATAGAGCTTCAAAGTTTCACTTTCTACTATTCCAAGTTTCTTTTAACTGTCAATTAACCCATTATTGCCTGAGTGAGTGAAGTGTGCTGAGCTTCCCTGCTGTCAGTTTTGATGTGAGTGGAGCCAAAAAAGCAATGACATCATTTGGTAATGCAAACATCAACTAAACAAAATGACTGTGTCTACAATACATGTGGCTTTCACCAGTAGCAAGAACTGGAACACTACATTTGATTAGCAATTATTATCACACAACACGCCAGTTTACATCCTAACAAACATCTGCCCCTAATGGAAAAAGCCGAATCCAACATTATGAAGCGGGGGAGTATGTACCGGTACAGCAGGCCTCTCAGCTTGTCTCCCACATTGATCACCATCACCTCCTTCCCAGCACTGGTCAGGTTGGCGATCTCACTCTTGATGGCCTTGGCCACATTTGAGTGGATGGCACCACACAGTCCACGGTCAGAGGTCACACCAATGATCACATGCTTGGCAGTCTTGTCCTCTGGCGCTTTGATGTCAGCCTTCTCATACAGGGCTGGAGAGCAGCAGTTTAATATATTAAACTAAATGGCAAAAAATAAAATAATAATCACAACAAGTGAGAGATAACATGGAGGACAGGTTTACCTACCCAGGGCACCGGCGCCATAGACGCGGGCTGGCTTTAGCTGCTTCTCAGCACGAGCATATTTGGAGGCGGCCACCATTTTCATAGATTTGGTGATTTTCTGGATGTTCTTGATGGACTTCAGTCGAAGGGTGACTAGAGAGGGGAGAGGATGGTCATATGATGCAACCTTGAGAGATTTTACTGTACGTTTATGCCAAGGTGTCCACCCTGTAGTATCTTTAGTTGTATTAGACCATTGTGAGCAAAGCTGTAAATCAATGAAGAGCACTGCCTTCTGGCTAGTACCAATTTCCAGGATTTACTCAGTACACATAAAACGCATGGAAAACAGTTACCTTGATTTTTCCAGAAATTTAAATTCACTGAATAAAACAACAACAGGTGTTCAACATGCTTATTACCTAAACAAAATAACACAAGTTCCACATAATTTGCCACCAGGAAATCATGATCAGCATCGTGACTCGAATTTCATTTACAATGACAAAACAGTCTAATCATACATCACACTAAACTCCATTCACACATGTAGCAACTTCACCTGTTTCCCCTGACAAAGATGCATACTTGGGATATGACGGGCTCCACAATTCAGCATCACTTAGTGCAATACTGTTTGCAACCAGGTCTTGGCAAAGCCAACGCTGATCAGCAGCTAAGGTTTATCAGTTTGAGATTAAAGCCTGCAATGTGCTGTTTTGCGGGTGTCTACAAAAATACTTACTGTCCTTCAAGGTAGCCATGTTCCTGACCTGCCCACTGTGAACAGAAATGGTGCATGTAAGCGTTAGCTGCAAGAATCGACAATATGCACAGTACTACAGTATAACATGAACAGTAGTCCCTAGTTAAGGTCACGGTAGTATGGGCAACTTTGAACTGAAAAGTGATTAATACTATTAGCAAGTCAGCTAATATCAGTTAGCTTTGTAAGTAACGTTACTGCACAAAAAAGGCGCTAACATTTAACGTAGTCCTAGCTAACTGTAATTACTATGTGTGTTAGGTAGTACAGCAAAACTATTTTCTCAGACACAAGCTTAGTGCTAGTAAACTTTTAGCAAGTAAATATCAACTCAGTTAACATTAGCTTCTACCTGGCTAAACCCATCTACTCAGAACGCAGCACAACCCTGTCATTCATTAGCCGCGGCCTCCACGTTAGCACGTCCTTGCATTTAATAACTTTATACATCCCTGACTAGGAGGTACACACTTATTCTAATCAGACATATGCATACAATACATATAAAGATACTATTTAAGACTGTTGTGAAAGCACTAAAATATTTTGGAATTTACCATTGTGGGGAGAACACCAACGCGCTAGTCCTGGCGAACATAGCTGCTCCAATGAAGGTCAGACACACAGGACTGCGCAGGCGCAAACTAAAAGCAAGATGGCCGAAATCTGCCTTCATGTTCCGCCAAAAGTATCGTAAAATAAGCCGCCGTAAAACATGAACGAACTCAGAAAACTTCTCACAACTTAAAAATTTAACTCCACAGTTTTTTCCTCCTCGCTGTCGCCAAGTACTTGCTCATCGGAGATTTGCTGGGTTTTATCCTATAACACCGTAATGTCTGGGCTAATGTAAAGAAGCTTGAAATAATTTTGCTGCTGTTATTTGGCGTTATACAAATAAAGTCAAATTGAACAGAATTTCACGTAAATTTACTGTTTTGTGCAACATGTCTAGGCTGTTACTGATATGAAAAAATGCGTATTCTGTTTAAGTCGCTTTTGATTAGTAAAATACTTAATTTTCCTCCAAAAAATTTTGCATTATTTGTGCAGGCAATAAGTTATATGTTCATGCAAATTTATTTGTAGGTTGCTAATTGAAACATTTCGGCTTTTGTGTGGTAAATTTGCCTTGTTAATTATCTTCAACAACAATTAACTAACTCTTAAATCTCCAGCCTTGGCTTAAGTGGCTCATATAGCCTTTCATGTAACTACCGTTTCGCATTTGATGCCTTTGCAGTGAAAAACAATTAAGTCACAGAGTCAAGCACCTGTTCACAAAGATAGCTTCAAGTTAAATTTGAAACCTGTGGGATACACGTACCTGTGTTTTGGAGGTATGCCCCAAAACACCTTGATTAAACCATTCACAAATTCCAAACGTAAAGACTATTATCCAGTTTGTTTCCAAAGGTGCGAGTTTCTATTCAAGCAAACGAAGATGTTAACCTGAATCCAGCAAGTTGATAAAAGTCTTCAAATACGTATTTTCCAATCTTACAACGGGATTTGAACACATCAGATATTCTCGCGCGATTTCCCATTTTTTGTGAGGTTATGGTGCTGGACACGCGGAAAAAGTGTTTACCTTAGCACCGGATGTTTTACCCGTGATTCGAGCAACATTGTTACAGCTTTGGCCTCAGTGTTAGCGTTATATTGCGTGTTTATGTGTCTCGTAGCTGGTCGGAATGGGGAAAGCAGATTTCCTCTCCCCGAAGGCTATCGGCAACCGGATAAAAGCCAAAGGTCTCCAGAAGCTGAGATGGTATTGTCAGATGTGTCAAAAGCAGTGTCGAGACGAGGTGAGATGTTTGTTACATCTGCCTGATCCGTATTTACTTATTTAATAACCTTGACTAACTTTCCTATTTGTTGTCAGAATGGCTTCAAGTGTCACTGCATGTCAGAGTCCCACCAGAGGCAGCTGCTGCTGGCCTCAGAGAATCCAAATAGGTTCATGGACTATTTTTCAGAGTGAGTTTATTAATGGCGCTGCCCATTTAACGTTAGTGGTGTACTTGCACGGCAGACTAAATATTCTTCCTCTGTTTCCTCCAGTGAGTTCAAAAGCGACTTCCTGGAGCTGCTCAGAAGACGTTTTGGTGAGTTCCTTTTCCCCATAGCTGATCCAGATGTTTGTTAACAGCAGCTGTTTACGCAGCTGTCCTTTTTCATCTGCAGGGACAAAGCGAGTGCACAATAACATTGTCTACAACGAATACATAAGTGACCGGGAGCACGTGCACATGAACTCCACGCAGTGGGAGACTCTCACTGACTTCACCAAGTGGCTGGGCAGAGAAGGTAGGCTGGTGGAAATGCATCACACACAACCTCACAGTGTGGTCCAACACCCAGGTCAACCTCACAGTGTGGTCCAACACCCAGGGAACATGCACAGAAATAGGCTCTTTGGTCATGTAATTCTTATTGTTGAATGTTTTCCTTATGGAACTTCTAGAGGTCAGTTTCATCGTGTAACTAGTATTGCACAGGTTGTAGGAGAGGTCCCACTAGTCAGTGAAGCTAATCTAAGATGTGGAAAATCAGCAATACAACAAGGTGAAAACACGTGAAAGATAAAGAAATAGAAAAGAGGACAAAGTGACCAGGAAGACGTTTTGGTCTTTGAGTTTGTAGTTAGTCAGAATCTATTGCAGCTGAATGTGCGAGTTCTTTCTGTTCAGATGGAGGAGAAGAAGAAGCAGCAGCAGGTCAAAACAGATCACTGCCTGTGTGAGACACTTACCTTCACTGATACCGTGGAGTGCAACTTTATTCAGAAGAAATACCAGACCAAACATTTGTAGACATGTTTCTGTGGCATTAACTAAGCGCACTCACTTTAGACTTTAATCCGTCCTCGTGTGTTAAATTTCACTACTAGGTTTTTGTAAGGTTGATGAGACCCCCAAAGGCTGGTACATCCAGTATATTGATCGCGACCCGGAGACCATCCGCCGCCAGGAGGAGCAGGCCAAGAGGAAGAAGCAGGAGCTGGACGACGAAGAGAGGAGTGCCAGGTTCATCGAGGAGCAGGTCCGCAAAGGCCGCGATGGCAAGGAGAAGGAAGTGAGTGGCCACAAGACAGACTTCAGCTTCACACCGGGTCGCCTTGGCTAAATGAAATCCACAAGAGGTTTGACTTCACTGCAGTTAAAATGTTGTGTTTATTCTTCAGGAAACTCCGGTTTACACTGAACTCAAACGTGAGAGTGAGGAAGAGAAAGGTTAGTTTCTGGTTGTGATCAGCGCGTTTGGTTTTGTTTTGGATGTGTTAAGTAAATAAAAATACTCAGTTTCAGACAAAGATTGATATCCAGATTGATATTCTTTTATACCTTAAATATCTGAATGCTTGTTGGTCAAATCCACTTTAAACAACAGTTTTTTCTCTTTGCTTTAGTTGCTTTCAACCTTGGTGCATCTTCATCAGTTGCTGGTCCTTCCAAACTGAGGTACTGATGCTCCTGAGCAGATTTTTATTCTTAGTACTTTTTTCTGCTACACAATTATCAAGCAGGTATCAATTAATTACTTGTAACCCTTGTAGCTCTGTCCTGGGATCTAGCGCTCTCAAAGCAGCAACAAGTTCAACCAAGAGAAAAGACACATCCTCAGGTTTGGATTCCAGAGGGGAGAAGAAGAAGAAATCTGCCTTGGAGGAGATCATGGAGGTCAGAAGATAATTTTGTCTTGTCTTCTATATGTCTTTGAGTTTGTAGTTAGTCAGAATCTATTGCAGCTGAATGTGCGAGTTCTTTCTGTTCAGATGGAGGAGAAGAAGAAGCAGCAGCAGCAGGTCAAAACAGATCACTGGCTGCAGCCCAACATTGTGGTCAAAGTCATCACTAAGAGACTGGGAGAGAAGTACCACAAGAAGAAGGCTATCATCACGGTGACAGTGCTTTGTATTTAGCTTTGTTGAGAGGACGTTTCTGTGCACATGGAGAGAAGAAAGATGTTAATGGCAGTGGATCTTTTTGCTGTAGGAGGTGCGAGACAAATACACAGCGGTGGTGAAAATGATCGACTCTGGAGACAAACTGAAACTGGACCAGAACCACATTGAGACGGTCATACCTGCACCAGGTAAAACAGCAGCTTTACAACCAGTGGAATCAACACGGTGTGTTTTCTGTCCTCCTCAGCTTCTTGTTATCAAACTCCCTGCAGGTAAAAGGGTTTTGATCCTGAACGGGCCCTACAGAGACACCGAGGCTGTGCTAGAGGGGATAGATGAGAAGAATTTCTGCGCTACACTCACGCTCGACTCGGTAAGTATTTCCAGCTTTCAGGCTCTTCTCATGCCTGTAACATGTTAGTCAGTGGTGTCTTATCTACTGTGCATCTGCAAGTTGGATATTGAAAACTTTCTGGCTGCCTGGCAAGGATCGATTTTGGGTTTTCAAAAATCAGTATTGAATTGAATTGGAAAACTGACAGTTCTTTACAATGCCCACCGAGCAGGCCAGATTATCTCTGATCACATTTGACATGAAAACGTCACACGTAACAAGTTGTTTTAAGTCTGTGTTTCTTTTATTAGCCATTACCTGCATTCACGTATGTTGCTTTTTTTTTAAATCTGTGCTGGGGCTGCAGCCATTGTTAAAGTTTCACATGTTCTCACCCTCAGGGTCAACACAGAGGGAAGAGAGTGGACATCGCTTATGAGGATTTCTCTAAACTGGCCTGAACCAGCAACCCTCCAGTTTTAACCTCAGGGACTCTACTGTGTCAGAGTTACTTCCTCATGTACATACATATCCCACAGTGCATTTCCAGTGAGCTACCACCCAGAAACCTCATGACAATGTGTTCAATTAGTTTATTTTGTATTAATATTCAAGTTGATTTTAACACTGCAGATGCAGAACTGGACTTCTGCTGTTCTAATCTGTGAGAAATCACATGTAGCTACAAATGTGACACCGGTGAAAAAAGGACCACACTGGGCACTTCTCTCTGGCTGCTCAGGGCATCTGGAGGAAGCTGTTGAGATCTGGCACGATGTAGTCGGTGTAGTGGCCGTCGATAAAGCCCTTCCCACTGTTGTGAATGAACCAGCAGTAGACGTTGGAGCCGCGTCTCTTATCCTGCCTGTAGTCCTTCTGCCAGCCTCTAAAACACACACAAGTTTTTTGGTTTTAATAAGTCAGTTTGTTCAGTAACGGATTTTAAACGAGTTCAGGTGTACCTGGTGACGAGCAGCTTGTTGCCATTCACTTCCATCGTTGCTTCCTTCTTCAGAGGGTCGAGTCCTTCATGGATGTCATATAAACTCACCTCAGGATCTCGAGCAAACTGCCCTGAGAGATCACACACACATTATTAGACTCCAGTCTACCAGTTTCGATCAATGGCAGGGTTAGACGATGTTTGGATTAGTCCATAAAACCTACCTGAGCCTGACACTAGACCCTGCTAACACAGTTTATCTGCCCTGTTACAGAAGATTGTCTACCAAAACAGATGCAATCCTGGGTCAAACACTAGATACCATCCACAATTGAAAAGAATTTTGGTACTAGACAAGAAAATAAATAAAAATATCAGTGAAACACTGAGACCTGTATTCATTATTAGAATGCTAAAAGTGAAAATTTAGACTTTAGTATAAGATAAAACTAAAAATCCTACCAGCAGCAGTTTCTTCTGTGCTCCAGTTTATGTCGGTCAATTTTCTGATTCTGTCTTTATTTGTATATTTAGACATTATGAACAACACATTGTTAATTTTACATATTAATTGGTTCTTCGAGATGTTGAATCTTTCACAGTAATAAAAATGACTTTAAAATAATAAACAATGCTTCACTTTACGGTGTTTTACTCTCCAAAGCCTTTTTTTTTTACTCCTAAGGTTGGCCAGTACAGACTCAGATGGTTATTACTACAGTCATCTCCACAACCTTTAGGTAAAAGCCAGTGTTTAGGTGTCACTCCAGCTGTTCTGGGTCCTGACAAACATGGTCCCCCTTCAACTCTGGGTGTCTTCATCCATGTTTTTCAACAGGTGCTTTACCTAAGACCTGCAAGGTGGCCCACTGTCTCACACACTTACCTATGAGCCCGTGCACCAGAGGGGAGTACTGGTTGTTGTTGGGAATGTAGACGCCAAGGAAGTCGACATTGACGGGATGTTTCTTCCACACACGATGGAGCAACACCATCACCTGGATATGATTATTTACCGTGATGGCCACATGAGAGTTCTTCACAATGGAAATCCTCAGCCTGACACAGAAACAATGAGACAGTCACCCAGATGTATCAGCAGTAAGGCTGACGGTGTGGTTAAAGGTGTGATGTTACCCATGCTGTGTGATTTCAGCTGTGGCCCCCCAGGTGAAGGAGTGGTTGTTCCTGCCATCAGTCATGGCGATGCTGCTGGTGCTGACCGTCACACTCACTCCATCAGGTTGATAGTAGACTGAGATGGTGCCGAAGTAGGTATTCAGTTTGCCTTTGTGCACCCGCTTAGAGCCAATTAGCTGACTGTTCACCACCACACCTTCAGGACAGGAGATGAGGTCAGAGAGGAGGAGCAACACAGGAAGGTCACACTTGATCTGGAAAGTTCACTGCTGGTGTGAAAACTAGTGTCTAGTGATCTTGAATCTATAAAATGTAGGCAACTGATATTCATTGTCTGGGCTATAGTTAAGCTAACGGGAAACGTAGAGTTAATACATTTGTAAAGGTGTAGCAAAGAAACAAGTGACGCATTAATGAGCAGCTTTAGACAGAGTTTCAACAACATTCTGTCCATAAACAAAATATCTGTCATTAAAGGACAAAGTCACCTTTGATAAGAAGAGTTGCCTGTTTGTCCTTTAACTATGAAGCCACAACCAGAAGATGAGCTTAGGAAGCTAGCCTGTCTCTGACCGAAGAAATCTGCATTTCTAAGGTTTATCATTACCACCAGCAGACTGTCTCTGGGCCAGGCAGAGCAAATGCCTCTGCTGACTGACGCCAGGATGTTTGTGCGACAATCTTGTGGCAGGAGAGCCAGCCAACACGTTTCCCCATATGTTGAACTAGTCCTTTCAAACATCAGGATTTCATGAATACATAATAATGGCAGACAAACAAAATCACAGGGTCATGTGGACTTTGCACTTTGGTGTATAACAATTTCATCACTGGCCATTTGATTTACATTTCAGCCCCCAACCAGTCGAACTGTTTGGTTGTGACACAAAAACAACTTTTCACAAACAAGTTTTTCCCAAGGAAGTAATTTTCCTATCACACCTTCTCTCCTCCATTATGATACAATTCAAAACCTTAAGTTCATTTTGCTGCAAAGTCAAATAGCTCCTCTTTGTGCTGTACAGGAAAACTACCACATATCAGTAAAAATACAGCAGATGAAAAGAAGCTCAAGACATCCAGACACTTATCTCCATTGCATATCATGTCACATGGGCATGATGAAGGTTTGTGTGCAGAGGAAAGCATGGTCTTCCTCCAAATCCAGCCTCATGGAAATTGTACTTGGGCTTCCAAAGGCTGTTCCTCATTCACTGCTGTGATCTCATTTATAATGATTCAACAAATGCCTTAAAATACAAGCAGTGTGCTAATTAATAATCTGTCTCTGTTGTTAAAATGCTGCATGTTCACCTATAACCTGTGGCACATGTAGCATTAAATTCGATGCCAAAGCAGAACAGGAACAGAAACAGTAACAGTACTACGTTTAATATAGTGCAGTACCTGATCCAGAGTCAGACACCAGGTTGAGAATATGACCAGGTTTGGAGTCGATGTTAAAGCAGACGTCCATGTTACTTCTGGGCAGGTGGACGATGAAGTGAGGGTCGTTGTCCACTGGCGGAGAAACAGCTTGTTACACAGTGGAGATGGTTTATATCTGACACTGCAGATGTTTTCACCATGGTCTGACAGTCCCCAGAAGTGTGTGTGTGTGTGTGTGCGCGTTACCTATGTTGATGTGGTGAGGCACAATCTGCTCCTCCCGTGGGCCCGTCTCAACCTGACTTGGCGGGGCCGTAGTGGTCATCAGGACCCAGGGTGGAGGCTGATAGACGACCTTGGACGGAGTCAGACCATTGGCGGGTACTACACACATGTGAGCTAGTTACTATATGTTCACATGTATTTTATGTTTATTAGTTTTGCCTTTTATGTTTTAGATTTAGTTTAATGAAGTGTTTTCTTCCCTCTTAACCTTCTTTCTTTACCGTACTGTGTCTGTTTTGGTATGTGCTGCCTTTTGTCGGGCACCTGAGCAGCAGCCATGTTTGGGGTCTCTTGGGGAGTCGGCCAGCAGCCTCTCTCCATCATCGCCCTCCACCAGAAGAGCAGTAAGCGGAGTGACAAACTGATGCTCCACAGCCAGCGACATGATCCGCTGAGTGATCTTCCTCTTCTTGGCAGCTGTCGGAGCCAGAGACCTGCAGGAAACCACACAGCAGCAGAGGTACAGGTTCAACTCTGACCTGTGATAAAGGGCCCTTATTCACATTAAAGCATTTAAACTGATTCATTGCACTCATTTCCAATTAAAGATCTTGTTTCTTTCTTTTTGAAAACATTTCCACATTTTTCATGTATGTAAGTGCATAAATCACTTTGACACCTTTCAGATATCAGCTGATTGATGGTGATGTAAGCCCACATCTGTCTGGCGAAGCCGGGGAATGAGTGCTGCTGCTTGGCTAACTCGGCATCCAGCTCCGCAGTGTCGGCCTCTGTCTCCAGCGTGATGTCCAGACTGGCCTGAGGAGTCACAGAGCAGAGTCCCAGTTTAATCCTCTGTGAAGTGGAATTTTAGCCCTCCCATGTCCAACAGATGGGTATTTCTCACTACTGCACTTTACATTTGTGGCTTCCAATAATGGCACAAATAATAAACATATGGATAATTTCATGGTCTGTGTATTCAAGACTTTAAAAACTGAGTGGAATTACATACAAAGCTTCCAGGTACTGATCTTCTACTCATTGCTAGTTGCTCATTTCCCTGAAGAGATTAAACTATCTGGTATTTGACAAAAAGACAGAAATGGCGTCGGAAATAATAGATTTGTGTTTGGTAAACTCACTGCAGATGCTGTGGTGAAGCTGGTCAGTGTGTTGCTCTCAGATGGCAGCACCTTCCCGGCCACCACCAGCTCAGAGCCGCTGAAGTATTTATCAAAGTGGTTCTGAGTGATGTCTGACACTGAGTCCTCAGGGAACTCGATGATGATTTTCCTCAGCAGAGGAGAAGAAACCTGTCTGTAAAAGGACTGCAGGGGGGAGAAGAGCCAGCGAATGAGGACTAAACTGCCACAGGAGCATCAGTTCACTGAACCCTGCTCTTTTGCATTTGATCAGTTTGAAAAATGATGAGGCATTATCAACTTTTAGCAAAGGAACAGCTCTTATTTAATGTATTTTAGAGACTAATCCTTTTTTAAAACAATTTTCTGCTGAATGTCTTGATAATAACATTCTAAATTACAAGATAGCATTTAACTTACAGTATCATGACTAAAATTTAGTTCTAGTAATTCATTACCTGTGGATCTGGTTAGAAAACAATATATTTAAAGCTCAGAATTTTCTGACTCTCCTGTCAAATCTTTATCTTGCTGTAGCAGAAGTGTACACAAACTGAGATGGTCATCTAGCTCACAGTAGCTACACCTGCTCATCTTAAAGTTTGTTTTATATCCAGGTTTTCAGGAGACTTTTGTCTTGTTAGTCTTCTTCTGCATATCCCTGCATTATATCCTGTTTTTTATATCAAGTAAAAGATCCATCTAAAACAGATGCAGATCATAGGACGGAACTGCAATTCTTCTTTTGTAAAGGAAACAATGATGTTTCATATTTTTGGTTGAGTGCAGAGGTAATGAGAGGAGACTGAAGATTCCCTGAAAGATGTCGTACCCGTAGCTGCTCTGCGGCATCATGGTTCGCATAGATCCGTTGAGCCATGCCCCTGTTCTCCATGGCTATGCGTTCCAGGAAGTCATAGTCCACGTCGAAACCGATGCCCAATGAGAAAAGAGAAAAATCCTCCCTCATCGCTCGTTTCACATTCTTCTGGATGGTGCTGAGCTTGATCTCGCCTGCAATAATAAATAAATCATAAAGAACAGTATCTTAATGGCTGAAGGTCTAAAATTTTTTGTAAGAGTAGCTGAGTCTGTCAGTCTTACCAACGGTGGGGTCTCCATCAGACACCAGAATGATCATGGAGACAGAGCGAGTTTCAATCTGCCCCCGATTGGATGCTTTCACAAGCATCTGGACTGCTCTCATCAGTGCCTCATTGATGTTGGTGCCTGAAGTCAAAGGCCAGTCAAATATGGTCATTACCAGACAGATGTTTTTGGTAGCCAGCTTATCAGAGCAGTCACAGAGTTGTAAGCCTCCTGCTGGACAGAAGAATAACACCGTCTTCTCTTATACCTCCACTGGGTTTGATGCTCTGGACGTAATTCTTGGCATCTTCGATGTAAAAGGAGGAGCCGTGGACCAGCTCCTCACTCCAGCAACGCACATTGTGATTGAAGTCGATGATGCTGAAGCGATCATTTATGGTCAGGTCATCCAAGATAGCCTGCATGGCCTCCACTGTCTGCGAGAGAAGTTTGGAGTTAAATGCATCTTACAGAATGGCCACACAGTGTCAGTGTTTTACATGAAGACTGTTGGAAAACTGACTTGCTTCATCTTGACCCCCCACATGGACCCGCTCACATCAATGACAAACACAATGTTTTTAGGAAGTGGGGAGAAGTTTGATGGAGCGAAGAAATGGACAAAGTGGCCGTCGGAGACCTGGAGGAGACAGTGTGCAGCATTAATCAAGTTAATTAGCAAGGATTTAAACAGAACACTTGGAGTGTGTGATACCTGTAGCTCTCCGGAGTTGCTGTCTCTTTTCACGTCATATCTGACAATGAAGGTGCCATCTATAGCACTGTCACTGCAGTTTTCACACTTTCTCTGCTGCTGTAAGGTGGGCTTGAAGACAACATGAGCCTGCGGACGCAGACACACACAAAATGAACAGTCAAATGCCTGCATACACATAAAACTGACTATTTCTACCAAGAGTCCTGTATGGCTGTTAAGTTGCAAGGTCAATTTTTCAGTATTGGCATCATTGCCTAACAAAGTTTCACATTTTTGCAGCATTAAATGTTCCTATAAATGTCTTTGAAAGTGGAAACTTAAATGTTTTAATGAGCCATATAAGTTAAGGTTTCAAGACCTATTATGAGACCCGTAGCCCAACAAGATGACTGGCTAATACTGTGTGTACTACAATGCAGATTCAGATATTTTAATGCAAATTTATACTTGAATTTTCTATGACTAAAATAACAAATGTAAATGTACCTTGTCATTGGTTTGTGTAACTCTGACCAGCTCTTCAAACTGCGCTCCAAGCGTGTTTGGTATTTGTACTGAGGAAATTCCATTTGGCTCAAAAATGTACACATCCACCTAAAGAGAGACTGTGTCAGGAGCGAATGCAGCAACAAATACGAGTTTGTAGAGATATATACAATATGATGCATGGTATTCTTGCCTGGAAGTGTGGCACCAGCCTCCCGGGCTGCAGGTACAGTGAGTGTTCATAAAATCCCAGCTTCCTATGCATCATCTCCTGGTAGTGGAGCTCAAACTCTATTAAACTGTTGGGAGGGACATGGACCTCCGTCTTAAATGTCTCCATGTCCTGAGAATTAGCCCTGTAAAGCAGACACAAGTCAGTCTTTCTGAGGCTGTTGAGCTCCACAGGTGATCCAGACACTGGGCTAGTACCTGACGATGCCCGCTGCCATGCCTTTGGCTCTGGCCTGAGCATAGAGGTTCCTGGCCACCGTCTTCTCCTTCACCGAGCCCACAAACTTTATGTCGTTCACAGTCCTGCAGCAGAAAGTGAGAAAACTTACAACTGGGCTCACTTGGTTGACCAGGCATTTTGGACTGTGTGGATCTGAGCTCACATGGTGAAGTTGGTGATGAAAGCCTGCTTAGGGATCTGGACATTGAAGCCAATGCTCTGGGCTTTGGAGCCCGAGTTAACCACTGAGCTCCTGACGGTGGTGTGGGCAAAACGTGATGTGATGCGGCTCTCCACCCTGTAGCTCTTGACGGTGATGTCATCTCCGCGGATGGCCTGGGCAAGTGTTAAAAGAAAACATAAGTGTGGAGATTTTAGACAGACAGGAGGATCTGAACAGCTTCTGGGTCACTGCTTTTAAAAGTCAGACTTTCTATGAATTCTTCTCCCACCTATCTCAACATTTTCAAAAGATGTCTTTATCTCCGATGTTTTCTACTGTGTAGCACAAACAATTAAAAATCTTAAACTGTTATTGCCCCTTTATGACATTGTAATACAATAACATTATATTTATCCTCCATTTACTTTCTTCCAACATCCATCCATCTGTTATCTATACCACTTTTCCTGACGAGGGTTGTGGGTAGAGTCGCCAGTCAACCTAAGCTGCATGTCGTTGGACTGTAGGAGGAAGCCGGAGAGAGCCGGCAGACTCCACACAGAATGGCCCCAGGCTCGAACCCAGAACCTTCTTGCTGTGAGGTGACAGTGCCAAGCACCGTGTCACTATTCCGCCCTTTCAGCCAACACTTCACTGAAATTACACTCAGTTGGCAGTTTATTAGGTCCATGTAACTAAAACTGATGCAGTTTGATCCAACAGCGCTGCAATAATCCTCCTCCATGAAAATGATTTTAGAACAATTTAGAAAAGTTCTGGTGGTTTGAGCAGTCGCTGGCCACACAACATGAGTTGTGGGTACTTCAAGATGTTAAGTCATTGAAGGAACAGTTTGACAAGTCAGGAAAAAGTTAGTGGCTTCAGGAAATATTCAGAAACTACTTTTGCATTTCTGTAGCCGTTTTAAGTGAGAAGATGGATACCTCCCTATTAACTGTCACTGCTTATCTATCATAATTGTTGGAAACAGGTGTCCCAGCTCTGCCCAAAGGTTAAAAAAAAATTAAAAATCTGCCTACCAGCATCTCTAAAGCTCACTAATGATCCGTTTGTTTCATTTCTTTGACAGTACAAAAGCAGATGTGTATAAAAAGACTGCGGTTTTAAGGAGCTCACATGTGGGTCACTTCCACATTTGACCTGAGACAGTGTGCAAATTTCTGGCCAGCAAGGCCAGAGAGGCTGAATCAGGCTGAATCAGGCATGTACTCTGGAAGTGCTGGCCGCAGACTCTTGCATGATTGGTAATGGTACAGTTGTCTCACCAAATATTATCTTCCCACCTCCCAAGTGTGGAAATTCATGACAAAGTTGAAACTGGCACAAGTTGTACATTGTGGGACACAGCAGTGATGGTATTTTTTGAGCTCATAGCATAACTTTACAAAACCTTGAAAACACCATTAAAATAATAAAACAGTAAAGAGACGTGGTTTCTTGACTAGCGTTACTATCCTAGTGTGCAGTTGCTCGCATGGCAGATGTTGACCAATGGCCTGCAGTTTCACTAGAAATGTGTCAGACTATAGTGCACACAGCCCATTCTTGGCTCCACTTTCTGACATCTCTACTGGTTGCCTAGTAAACTCACAAAAAAACAAATCTTTTTGGGCCTGGACTTGCCAAAGGAGGTTTGGATTCAGCCAGAGTATGTTCTATATCCATAATTCAATAAATAATGGTGATTTTAAAGTTTGTAAAGTTGGATCCATCAGTGGGGATTAAACCTTACATAATTCCCTGACTTTTTTATTATGTCGATTTCATCATTCAGAGAACCTTCAGCTGGATGTGGATGTTTTACAACTCATTTGGTTTGGTCTCAGCCTTGCATTGCTTTTAGTTTATCTATGACCCTGATTTTGACTTGGTTCTGTCTAAGATTTGATTTAAGTAACAGTTACCATCAAGTACAGTTGCTTTGTGTCTATGCCTCTATTCTCAAGGAGTCCTATTTAAATCAGAAACATTCTGTCATAGTCTGAGATGGCATGAAGGAAGACTGGGTTAGGAATTTGAACACCAAAATAAAGCAGTCTGCTTCACTCAACTGTCTCCCTGATTTGATTTTTTACATAGAAAAAGAGACAGAAAATGGGACCGAGGCAGAATTAGTCAATAATCTGTCAGTCATGGGAATCTCGTCAAACAGCAGCATATTGATTATTAGATAAGGTTCAACTCTGCCACAGTGGAGATGGCCCCAACAACAAGCCCAGAGTCATACCTCAAAGTCTTCCTGCTCCTCGCTGGTCAGTGTAGCTCTCTGAAACACACACACACACACAGATGGTCAGCTTCACCTCCACTCTCTGAGAGATACATACAAATCAGGTATAGCCGTAAGATGATGTAGGATTACAATCATTTGTTGTTTATTTTTGTATGGTCTGTAAGACGCATTCCACGGATCAGTGATTGCTGCTACTGCAACATCGTTGAGAAAAACAAACCTACAACTCATGCGCTGCATTATACAATTAGACATAAAACAAGAAAAGCCTCACCTTGTGTCTCTGCCTGTGATCCCGTAGACCTGACTGGTGGAAGAAAGAACATTTTAATTATAATCAGATTTAATTCTGCAGATGATTCAAAGTGGGACAGTGAACAAGTTATAAATGTTGTATTTTTCTGCAACAATTCAAGGAGCAGCTGCTTCTAAATCTCATGTAATTTACATCACACTTAGAGACAAAAGTGAATTCTTAAGTTTTAAAGGCTCAAAGGTCAGGACAACAGTCTAGATTTCATTTCAAAAACTTTTACTTGAGAAAACAAATGGTACCATCAAGCGTAATTAACTGGGAGGAGCTGCTTATATTTCCATGTTATTGAATACATGTTTAGACAGACTTCAGGATCAAACATTGACTCTACAATGAAGAATTTAAGTAAGGTTTCAAGAGTCAGGGGACATGACAAAGATTTAGGTTTAATTTTGCACAAGTTAACTGCTCTTGCAATGGGAAAATAAAAAAGTAAATTAAAAAAGAAAAGAATTCATGTTTATTTTAGCCTTCTTTCAATTAAAAAAGCATTTTTAACCTTAATTTGACTGATCAGTAGTCTAAACAGTGGGTTAAGCTCTGTCCTACAAATGAAAGGTTGCACAATCAGAGTTTTCCACCTTCCCCAGTCCCTCTTAACACCCTCCAACTCACCGTCTCTTCCTCCCATTCTCCATCTATTACAAACTCAAAGCAGCGGCCCTGATGAAGGAGCAAGAACCCTATAAGCAGCAGCAGCAGCAGACGCCTCATGATTCCAGCCATGGGAGCTCAAACACACCCTTGCTCATACACATTAAAAACACAGCCCTTCTGCAGGGCACTTCTTGGTAATGCAGTCCAGTTGAAAACTGAAGGTTAAAATCCAGTGAACTGATCAACTCCCAGCCCCAGTCAATATTTGTTGTGTTTCATGTAGCCCAGAGAGGAGAGGGAAACTTTGAAACCTGACCTGCAGTGTGGGCTGGGTAAACAGGACAGATTTGACTTGTGCATAGATTAAAGAGAGACTTCACATCAGACCAATAAAAGTCACAATCTGACCAATGAAACTTGCCAAACATCATTCTGGTGTGTTTCTGATACACAACTGACAATGTTTCCAGTTTTTATTTTCCATGACACATGTAGACAGGTGACAAATGATATCACAACCCAACATAAAACGTCTCCGTTAGGTTTTGGGCCACCATCACAAAATTTTGTAATCAGCCAGATTTTGTTCCTGTATTTCACTGGCCAGCTGATCATAGGTTAGACCCAGTCAGGTAAAACAGCGAGTCCCTGTACAGGAGCACTCCTGGACATGCAGTAACCCCAGGCTCTGTATTTTTCTCCACATCCTCTGGTCACACTGCAGCAGCAGGAGGTAAAACATATATAACCACAATGAGTCAAATAATTTTGTTTTTACACTGCCACCAGCGCATGTCAGGCAAGTTCACATGAACGGGCAACTGCCTGGAGATGATGACCTTTCAAGGAAACCCTTAAACGATAACGTCAGACCTTACATGGTTAGAAAAAAAGGTCTCAGGAACTAGAGTTTGTGAGACGTGTATAGACCGAGATGCTTCTGCATAGAAGTACTAAAACATACAGTATGTACACCTCTTTTTTTTTGGACATATAGATGATTAGTCATATATGTTCCTACTGTACATTTAAGTAGAATGGACAGGCAACAGATATTATTTTGCTGTCAACATGTGAAATGGGCATTTGCAAGTAAAAAAAAAAAAAAAACAGGCTTGCCATAAGATGTGGTTTTTACGATTAATATTTTTATAAATGGATGACTACAAAATCTCAAGTTGATTTTATCTTGTTAAATAGTGAACACGGCATTTTATGTCTATAAGTTGTGTATCAAGAGATACAAGTCAAGTCCGTAATGCACAGGAACTTCTATACCAATGCAGTCTTTGGTTTTTGTGCAGCTACACAGACTGTTTTACATAACCAAAGCCGATGAACAATATATGGAAAATGAACACATTTTAAGTTATATATTTGGATATATAATTTTGCTTTGACGTTTTATGCTTATTATCACTTTGTGGTTTTATATTGTTCATATTTATGTATTTTATTGCCCTTAATTACAGACTTTAAAGGGTTTCGCACCTACGTATAAAATTTTCACAATGATGCAATTTATGATAGGACTGACAGAATGTTATCTGCCATAATTTATGATTTAATAACTATATTAAAGGGTTTCCAATAGGACTGACCAACACCAGCACAGACTTAGGATCACACACTGAAGGGGTTTTATCAAAGTTTTCCAATAAGGAAAATCAACGGTACACAGACTTAGCTGGTCTCTAAATATTTTTTTAGATGTAATGATTAATTAACTCTCTAAATAATGCATCTAGTTTAAGGGTTAGAGTCAGGGTTAGTCCTAATAGTGCTGATAGATGTATTAATTAAAACTGTATTGAATTTAGAAAAAAAATAAATCTTAATCATGTTTGAGTTGGTTGGTGACAAAAAGCTGATACTGTTCACATCACCTGCCTCCAAATCAACCAATAGCAAAATTCAATTGCAAAAGCAGAGTTTCCACCAGTAGAGGGGAGGCTCTCCACATATTCATGGCTCAAAATGCTGACTTCAACTTCGTCAAGATTTGGATCTGAGTCAATCAACAACTCTAGTAAATACCAGTATAAACTGGTTTTCAGCTGAAAAAGTGGTTTGGGGGTTTAGTTACTCTTTAACAATTCAATAAATGACTACTGGCATCTAGTCAATATCCAGAGAGAGTTTATCACCCAGCTCCAGCCCTTCTCAGTTTTTTAGTATCTTTCTGCTCATTATTTGACTGTTCTAGCCAGCTTTAGTTTACTGCTTGGTTTAGGCTAACCTTTCTCATTAAAGCCATTTCCAGGCTTTAGCAAACAAAGCTCTGATCCATCCACTGCCCAACACCAATATACAGATAGATGAAATTAGTGAACATGGTGGAGTATTTAGCAGCTAAAGAGCCACACATGTCCCTGGAGAACAAAACTGAGGGAATATTGAACATAACAAATGTCAAGTGGAGCAAAACAAGAATCCAGATGAATACTTCTGTTGCTCCGTATCTGCTGGATGTGTATGTAAATAAGCTACTGTTTGCTAATGGTACTGATTGTCAGTGTTTTGTTAACAGCTTGTAACCTAATCAAACTACAATATTGTGTATATTGAAAGTTACAACAGAAATCACGAAAATTAATAAACAAAAGCACTACATACTCCAAGTGGTGACTATAAGCCCTAGTTAGTTTTTTTGCATGTTGTATTATGTTGCTTTGTCATATGTTGATGCCACAGAGTGTTTATAAGATACTGACTATTAGACTGACCTTGATTAAATGTTTCTAATGTTGAGACTAATGATCATTTCTTGTAAAAACAGCTGGTAAACAGTGCTGTCATATCAGGTCTCTTGAGCTTTTCTGCATCTGTATAAGTCATCTAGTTCTTTTTTAGTCTGTGATGACTTTGTTTATTCAACAAAATATGATAGCTAACATCATTATCAGTCACAGCCAGAATAGATGGCACTCTGCACAAGAAGGGGATCACTCAGAGAATGCTGTTTTACTTGAACCACCCGAAGGGGCTGTCACTCGAGTACAGCTCTGTTAATGTCCTGTACCACCTAGTTTGTCATCTTAATATCTGTAAAATGAAAGACTTAATGTTTTCTCTGACCTTGTGTTTGTCTGTACCAGGCACATCTTTTTTCAGCTACTAAACAAAACAAAAATCCTCTTGTGGTTTGACCCATATTACTCTATGGTGTGACCTTGGTCTTGTTGTGGTGGGAGTCCCCCTGCTGCATCAGCCCGGAGAGAGCATGTAGCGGACAGCTGTTCTATCCATCATCAGTAATGCAGGGATAACCTCTGCACAGAGACAGAGGACTTGAATTTGGAAAAACTAATCTATTGCCTAATAATACAAAAACAAAATTAAAAAAAACTTTAACTGCATTTGGAACTTTAGTCTTTAAGTTCTAACTTAAACTAAGAGTGTAAATGATCAGTGTTGTAGCATTCCTATAATACATGCATGCTTTCCATCTGCTCATGACCTTCAGGTTCATGCTGAATTTAAGGTGATTTAAGATTGAACACGAGTTCAGCCACCAAATATTTTCCTTTCAAATGCTGCCATATTACTTACTCGGTGTCAAAAATGCCAAACATATGGGAATACACGGGAGGAACATGGCACACTATCTTTGAGACAATTTACTGATTTTTCGGGGCTTTGTTCTTAAAAACAATCCCACGCTCCCTGAACGCAGCAGGAGCCCGACATCTCTCTCCTGCTGTGGGTGGGCGCAGTTTTCTCCTTGTGTCACTCCTCTGTCCGATCACTCTGGTCTGGACACATGGAGACGCTGAGTGCTGGAAATAATGCCTCATTCTTATTTTTGAGTTTTTACGGAGCGCGACTGCGAGATGCTGCTGCTGGTTCTGCTGATGTGTGTCAGCACGCGTGTCCTGGGACAACAACAGGAATCTTCTTTTGAAGATGATACTGGTTCCGATTTGGCAGACTTTGGATTAGACATTGTAAGATGTTTAAAAGACCTAAGTACTGCACATTATGGTGCTTGTACTTCTTCCTCTGACTGTGTTTGTGTTCACAGGCGCCGCGCAGGGTCCCTCGGCAGGTGACAAATATATTAACCAAGGTAAGGTCAGGTTTGCGGCAGCGGTATGACGCTCTGTCTGTTTGTTTCTGTCCCTTAACTTTAGAGTAGGGACGTAAGGAACGACTCCAAATGTCGTTCTGTACATTTAAATCGGACTGTAACGGAAAGCAACTACAAGTTAATGCTTTTTCTAAATATAATAAAAGATCATCTTCGCTTGGTGTCTGATAATATGGCACAGTGGATTAATGTTCATTCCTTGTGATCTGACAACGCAACTGTTTGCTCTCAGGTTAGTGAACTGGTCTGCCCGGCAGAAAGAAGACGTTTGATTAAGCAGAGCTGTTTATTTTTTTAATTGTAACCCAGAATGCATGACCTGGTTTAAAGTATTTAGTCATGCAAAACTTGCGCGCTTTGGGCGTGACGCAAGGAGATCCGCCAAGCGGATCTGTGCCAGAGGAGCTGTAATGCGCTGAATCTTTGCTCATGGGAACAAATGTCCCTGTCTGTTTGGTTATTGTAACTATGGGGAAGTCCAGCTTTCCTGAAATGAGATATTTGGGCGAATGAAAATAAAAATGTACAACAAAGATGTGTGAAATCATGACGCAGGTCCAGATTAAATTTGGGTATTGGTGTTGTGCAGTTACCGTGTTTTAACGCTGTCTTTGCAGGAGACCAAACCTCACATCCAGGAGCTCTCCATCAAGACCACCATCGTCTCCCGCTATGCTTTCACCGCGGTGTATTGCGCCATGCTCAACCGGCACCCCGCCGCCACAGAAGGCGTCTTCCAGCTTCAAATCCCCGCTGACGCCTACGTCTCCAACTTCACCATGTAAGAGCCATACATGTCACCTGAGCAGCAACAATAACTCACAGCTGTTGACCTAAAATCACAAGCATAATCGGGATTGAACGGTGAGGTTTTACATGCTTGGAAACCTAGTATCTAATGAGAGAAACTGCCTTCTCAATATAATTCAGTGGCCTTTGAAAGACTATTAAGATGACTGAAAATATTGTGAACCCACTGAAGAACATGTAAACTTTCAATTTATGCAGAAACATAAAGCCACAAAGACAAGTTTCACTGGAAGATGAAGATCCAATATTCCACAATAGAGATTTTGGTTTGCAACCCCTCGAAATGAGACCGTTTCTACTCGACTCTTCATCACAGGCTTATTGCAGACATGCATTATGATCATTTCAGACAAAGACTGATGTTGCCTTCATTGTTCGATTTGATGGGTTTTAGAGGCAAAAGAAGGTTAAAACAACAAGACATCCTGCTTTATTCAAATGGCTTAAAATTAAGATGCTCATTCTCCCTGTGCACATATAATGACTATGGTTATCACTAAGATCTGGCAAGTTTTAATAAATAACAGTGCCAATTTTGAGTCCTATGATTAAAATAGAAGTAGTGATAAATGCTAAAATACCAAAGTGTCCTTACGATGCCTCTTTAGAAATAAAAATGCAAACAAAAACAATGTCTGTGTCAGTCTTCGCTCCACTTTGTCCCCAGCTTTGGTCAGTCACAAGCAGATTAGGACATTTTGGAAGTTATTTTATGAATGACACCAGATTTAATTGCTAGTAGTAGTTCATGATTGTACTGCTGCTGTGGAGATATTGGCAAGGAGACAAGCAAAGGTGACTACTTTTATATTGCTCTTAGTGACCATTCATGGCCAGGACGGGTACACGCAAAACATTTTGTCCACAAATCCAACCTTTTGTAAGAGAAGCCACAGTTGAACTGTGACAACAGATGATCCTGAATGGCTCTAATCCCAGACCTTTGACCCCTGTGAACCAGGATCGTCGGAGGGCATGTCTACCAGAGCGAGGTCAAGCCGAAGGAGAAGAAGGTCAGACAGGAGAATGGCAAATCCAAGAACAAAGAGTCAGGCAATGCAAGGTGAGAGAACCCAGAGATTGTGTTTGTGCGGCTGGTGTTTCATCCTGGCTGCACAGCAGCAGTCGTACAGGCAGCCACAGAGACAGGTTCATTAGGAAGACCGCTCCACACACTACAGGGTGATCTGTGACCCAAGAAGTGACATTTGGAAGAAGTGACATCACGTTTCCAGCTGTCTGAAAAGTGACATTTCCTTAAATGAGATTTGGTGATTCATTGACTCCACTGTAAACAGGGCAGAGGAGGAAGGAGGGGAATCAAGTGGAAGATGTGGGATTAGACAGAGGCCTGATATCACCACTTGGACTCCGTAGCTCAGTGCTCCACTTCTATTCTCCACTTCTCCTAATTGCTCCAGTGTTTCTTTCTTCTCTCATGATTTTAACAGCTATTGCTCTTTCTGTTTTCCTTAACCTTGACATCAAACTGATTGGACAAATGGCCTGGTCCTGAAAACTGCATCATCAGTGCATAATGTAATGGCACTGGTTGTGACTTCCTGGTTTTCTGCATAAATTGGTCATGAAATGTGATCTGATGTTCATCAAAGTCACAAATATCAAGAAACAATACTTCTAAGCTGATAAAACACAAACATCTTTATTGAATACACGCATTAAATACACAAAGTGATGGTTGAAAAAGTCATGGCAACAGTGTTTTAACAACTGGTTGAACCACCTTTGGCAGTAACAACCTCCAGCCAGCGCTTCCTGTAGCTGTGGATCAGATCTGCACAAACCTTCAGGGGGAAAGTAGGGCCATTGTTCCTGACAGAGCTGCTTCAGCTCAGACATGTTCTTAGGACATCTGGTGTCAACGTCTTGAGGTCATTCCATAGCATCTTTATCGGGTTGAGGTCTGGGCTCTGACTGGGCCGCTCCAAAAGGCGGATTTTATCTCTGAAGCCATTCTGTAGTAGACGTACTTCGATGTTTACAGTCATTGTCCTGCTGCATCATCCACTTTCTTCTGAGCTTCAGCTTGGTGACAGCTGCCCTGTCATTATCCTGTAGGACACCTGGATAAACTTGGGAATTCATTTTCCCCTCCACAATGGCAAGCAGTCCAGGTCCAGCCCCGCATCACGATGCTCCCTCTTTTTACGCCGTACGTAGTGCTGCAAGTTCTTCCAAACAGTTGTACCTTCGTTTCATCTGTCCACAGGACATTTTCCCAGTAGTGTTGTGGAGGGTCGGGCTGGTCTTTGGCAAACTTCAGGTGTGTTGCAGTGTTGTTTTTGTAGAGCGGTGGCTTCCTCCATGGTGTCCTGCCATGGATACCAGGCCTGTTCAGTACCTTGCATATGGTTGACTCAGGAACAGAGATGTTAACCAGCTCCGATGAATCCTTCAAGTCTTCAGCTGTTACTCTAGGGCTCTGTTTTATCTCACTGAGGGTTCTGATGTGCCGTTGGACTGATCTTGGCTGGGAGCCACAGAACCAAGTTGTCTCTATGTATAGACAGTATGTCTGACTGTGGACTGATGAAGGTCTGAAGTCTTTCAGACGACTCTGTACAACTCTGTAAACCTTTCCAGCTACATGCAAATCAACAACTCTTGATCATAGGCCTTCTGAGATCTCTTTTTTTGTGATGGTGGGTTATGTGGCAGACTATTTATTTGTCAGACAATGACAAGACTCTGCACCCTGCAACCATCTTCTCAGGGAGGAAAGCATTTCCCAAAATGTCAAAAAATTTAAAGTCCCTTTAAACTGGTTCCTTCTCTCTCCTCTCCAGGCCTGAGTCAGTGGTGGACGTGTTCAGGGTGGCAGTTAATATACCGGGTAAGAACCGAGCCATCTTTCTGCTCACCTACGAGGAGCTCCTCCAACGCCGGCTGGGACGCTATGAACATGTGACCAGCCTGCGGCCCCTGCAGCTGGTCAGCCGTCTCAGCCTGGACGTCACCATCGTCGACCACTCCCTAATCACAGATGTCGAGGTGCTGCCACTTCGTAACGGCAGGAGCAACGGTGTTTCCCACACTGCAACTGGGCGTGATGCACCAAAGACACCAGGTCTACACATTACATCTTAATATTTTATTAGTAAATAACTTTTTTTTTGCCTTTTATTTTTCATATTTTTTAAAAATTGTCCTACCCTGTTTTTTTAATCATGATGCAAAATTGTATTCTTTCTTATACTCTTTTCTTTGTGTTTGTCTGGCTCATAAACAGTACACTAATACCATTTTCAGCCTGCCCTGTCAACAGTTCATATCTGTTTTCAGGTCCGTGCCACTATAGTTATTTTAGAGCTTTGTATTAAAAGACAAACACACTTCCTGTTATTGTGCTGCAGCCAAGTCAGAGCTTCCCATCACCACTGCAATTAAAAATGAAAACAACGTCTACAAGATCACCTTCAGCCCCAACATTGTCCAGCAGGCCAAGATCACCACCAGCGGCATCCTGGGAGACTTTGTGATCCGCTATGATGTCCAGAGAGACATGGGGATAGGAGACATTCAGGTGAGCAACAGCCTGTTCAGCAACTTTAACACAAACATACAGAGATGAGCAAAGGTTTTGAAGCTGCCTCAAAATACTTGTAATATTTTGTCAGCGTGCACACAGATTTCCCCACTCTCCTCCACCACCTGGTAGTCATTCATTTCTCTGGCTTCCTGCCACCAGCCTCACCCCACTGCCAAACTCTTCTGTCTGTCTTCAGAACAGTGTTACGTTCTGCCAATAACACAAAACCACTGCAGCCCCTCTCACTGCCTGCTGCGTGTGTGTGAATTTTGTTCTTTTGCAGGTTTTAAATGGCCATTTTGTCCACTACTTTGCTCCCAAAGACCTGCCGGCTGTGCCCAAGAACGTGGTGTTTGTGATTGACACCAGCGCCTCCATGCTGGGGACTAAGATCAGACAGGTAAAGCAACACACTTAGGGGATATCTAAAAAACCACTGGCAAGTTAAAGCTGCTGATAAAATTGCAAAATGTGGTTGAGAGTATCTAGAAAAATCTGGACCTTACATCAGGATTATTTTGTCAGATTTCTTTGTGATGATTAAATATCTCAACCAAATGTTCCTGTGATAAGCTGTGGCTTTTGAATAGGTTCAGGATTCATGTCAAATTTACAGTATTAATAGTTAGGGATAAACTAAATTTGGATCATTCTAACAGGTCTTCATTAGAGTAGATTGTACACATATTTGTTGAAGGGATAATTTGGGATTTTGGCTGATCACATTTTTTCCACATTAAAGTACCAGATATTAAATCATTTTTCAGAAAGGCTTTCTCAAATGCAAAGCAGTGTTTGAGCTCAATTTCAGTTGCAGGACTGACTTAAAAAAAAAAAAAAAAGTCACACCCCACCTCTTCACTCTCACACTGAAATATCAGTATCAGAGCTTTCCGTGCAATAGCATGATAATCCCCTCGGCTGGACTCAGCTGATCTCTGCAGCTACCATGAGCAAAGAGACAGAACCAGAACGAAGCAGAGAAACTGAAAAACAGATTTCAGGGAGAAAGAAAAAAGTGGAAACATACAGCACAAGGCCCTGCTGTGAGGGAGGAAGGTCAGGGTCTATGGGGTAATGGAACTTTGTACACAACAGCACCCTCGACCCCTTGATCCATCCCCCCACCCATGGCCTGCCCCCAGCAGGCTGCGGGAACAGAACAAGAAGTGTGTTTTGATGTGGCTTCACAACAGAAGGTTTCAGTGTAGGGTGGTTCTGAGCCCTGCTGTGTATAACCTCCATAGGCATCTATAAATCCCCCAGCAATGAAGTTGCTACAGACTGTGAAGCTTCAGGACAGAACCATATTACCACCGCAGCTGTGGTTGATATGTCAGGAATACCTTGAGGGATTTTTTTCACATTTGTCTTAAGTGTCCACTTGGACTCAAGGATCAACCACTTAGATTTTGGTGGTCAAAGGTCAAAGTCAGTGACCTCATGTCTGTCCCAATCCTATCAGTTTGACTCATTGTGAGAGGCATTCAACTGTGGTCATTCTAGGTGTTTTTTTAATTTCTCTTTGTACATAAACGTGCCCAGCCAAGGCAACCGAGAAATCTCAACTTTTTTTCTTGCCTTAATTAAAAATAGAACTTTACAATATGCCATTGTAAAAGCTCTGGTCGTAAATAATCAGCAAGTATCAAAGGTTACTGTAATCTGTCCAGTTTCTGTGCCAACACACAGAATCTTTTCATATAACTGTTAACTTTCAGATGAATTTAGGTGTTGGCATCAGTGCAAAGATTACACAGTCTCTGGGCTGTGTGGCCATTTGGAAAACAGGAAATCAGGCACACTCATTTTCATACATACATATATAATTGAATCTAATGTTTTGAAACCTCTGTGTCAGACTAAAGAGGCTCTGTTCACCATTCTGGGGGATCTGCGCCCTGATGATCGCTTTAACTTCGTCAGCTTCTCCAGTAAGATCAAAGTGTGGCAACCAGGCCGTCTCGTTCCAGTCACACCTGTCAACCTCAAAGATGCCAAGAGCTTTATACTCCAGCTGGCGCCCACTGGAGGTGACACTTTATTGTACTTGTGACTCGTCTTCTCCTCCTGATTCCTGTATTTTGATAGATGTATCCGACTGTGTTTGGTGGATTCATGAATGATGAGCAGTGAGACAGAGAGACACTACAGATTCTCTGGTGCACGAGGTTAAATGGGAAGTGAAAGCATGTCAGTATGTTAGTCACCCTTCATTTTGCCTATAAAGAAAGTTTGACTTATTCATTGTATTTCCATATCCCTGAGTAATCCCCAGTCACGTTCCTCCACTGCAGGCACGAATATCAATGGTGCCATCCAGATGGGCTCCTCCCTGCTTCGTGATTATCTCTCGGGTCCTGACGCCAGTCCGAACAGCGTCTCCCTCATTATATTCCTGACAGACGGTCGGCCCACTGTCGGAGAGATCCAGTCCACGGCGATCCTGTGGAACACTCGTTCGGCTGTGCAGGAGAAGTTCTGCATCTTCACCATCGGGATTGGGAATGATGTGGATTACCGGCTGCTGGAGCGCATGGCTCTGGAAAACTGTGGGATGATGAGACGCATCACTGAGGAAGCTCACGCCAGCGCCATGCTCAAAGGGTAAGGGTGTGTTTTCACCTCTGTGTCTCTTGGAATATTTTGTCTACCCCTGGCATCTTATCCTCCCACCTACTAACTGGATTATAAAGCTTTTGAACCTTTGTTCACATTTTGTGAGTTTTCCAGACCTATACACAGGAGGAGTCCAAGTCTTTGGGGCCCTAAGAAAAACTAGACTGGGGGCCCCTCCACTGCCAATATTGTCAATGCTTAATTATTCACACATGTACTGTAAATCTAACACACCCATTATTAACTTTATTAACTGTAGTTGTTTACTTACATTGTGAGACCAGCATATTTTAGACTCTAGTGTTAGGCTATGTGTTTTCCATGTAACCTAACATTAGGGTCTGACAGACTGTATGTGGTAGGTTGACTCTGAGCGGCCAGGAATGTAGGAGACAGACTCGAAAAAGACATCAGGTTTTCTCAAATCAGTCATTTATTTTAAACAAGTGCCAGCAAAGTACACATGCCAAACAAAATCACTAAACAAACTAAATGGTTTAACTTCACATAACTGAAGAAAAATCAACTGAAAATAACTCAATGCAACTTACAGGCACGTGCACACCACTACACTTAGACTGCCATACTCCAAGCTGCTCCACCTCAGCTGATTAAGTAGCTCCTGGTACCAATCAACCCTATGACATCCTTGATGACATCAGAGAGCGTACGAATTGAGGAAGTGATTAACCTAGTAAATACAATCAAACATTTAACACACAGGTTAAGGCATTAAGAAACATACATGACTTAACCTAGGGACAAGTGGAGTGTTCTCACCCACTTTGTCACACTGTACTTGCATCAAAGTGCCATTAATGGCCAATACAGTGCACATATGGCTAAACAAGCCCTCTTGTGGGACATTTCAAGCATGCTTGGGGTCTCTAAGCAGACATTTAGTTGGCTTATACCTCAGGCCGGTTCACACCTGTTATTATAGGACTGGTGAATCCCATTGTGCTAAAAATAGGAGAAATAAAGACAGTTTCTCTTTTATTTGAAGTTGATTCATAAACCATTTCAGCTTAGCTAAATCTGGTCTGACAGTGGAGTGGGAAAGTACTAAAATCGGTGTGTAGGTATTCATAAGCTAGCTGACAGTGGTGTAAGGTCTAAAAGTGGCCTGATAATGGTCAGAAAAAAAGTCAAAAATTGGTATGAAAATATCTAAAGCTGCCTTGAAAGACTGGGCTAGCAGTATGGTCTAGAAGTGATCTACCGGTGTGAAACTGGCATAAAGCTTAACTATTGAGAAATTCTGAGGTAGCTGTTTTTAAATATAAAGATATGGCCACCAGACCGACATGTAGGAATGTTAAATCTATTTTCCAAAAATGTTATGAAAAATCATTTTGTTTTATGCCTCTGCAGGACTCACTTGTTAGGATTATCCCACACAACACATACTCGCTGGGTATTTATAAAAAAGGAATCGATAAAAAGATGCATCTACTCTCTGATAAGTAACATCAGATTCTTTGTCCTTAAAGCCTAATTCACCTCTTACTGAGCAGCTAGCTCTCCTTAATCCCCGCCCTCTCCCCTCTGACATGTTCATCCATCTCTCATCAAGCTACGAGGGAATGACGACAGTAAATGTGGCGGTGCTGACAACAGACCTCTAATCAATGTCAACATGTGACAACCACAGACTGCAACGACCACTCTCTTTCTCTCTTGCACCCATTTTTCCCTTGAACAAACACAGTGGTTAGAAGGTGAGGAGGTTTACTGCGGTGTGACAAGACGGAAGGGTCAGAGGACTTGTACATAAACATACACAGTTTCTGAATGTGTGCAAAGACTCTCAAAGTGGGGTAGCTGGAGAATGACTTGACATTTGATATCTGGAATCGCAACCTTGATTCCCTCCCCTCAAAAACTACCACCAACGTGCCTCTACCAGAAAAAAACAACAGCTTTAGTCGCCTGTTCAAACACACAACAGCCAATGTGCAAATTGCTGCCTGTAGTTGTACTTATAATAACCACCTTCTCTCAGAAGCAAAGGTTGAGTTGGACTTCGACCTCAAGAGGCTGGTTTCCATCCCATCTCCTACCACAAACAGGATGGATTGTTTTAGCCATGACCACACCTTTAATCCAGCGTTCACCAAGATGTTTTCGAGAATGTACTCTATTGTTACTTTGATACCGTGTTGCCTTGCTTTGACTGTTGATTTGTTTTTCCAATCATCTTCTTGTCCCTTTCTAGATTCTACCATGAAATAGGAACTCCTCTGCTGTCTGATATAAGGATCAACTACACTGAGGATTCGGTCCAGTATGTGACTCAACATCTCTTCACCAACTACTTCAATGGCTCTGAGATTGTCATTGCTGGCAAGCTCATTAACCAAAGCACAGAATCCCTTCACGTCCAAGTTACAGCCAGCAACAGCGACAGGAGCATTGTACTGGAGACAGATGTGCCTCTGCAGCTTCGGCAGATAGAGACAGAGAAATGTGTGAAAACAGCTACAGCAGCAATGGCGGCTGGTGTCAAGACTGCAGGCTCAGGGGCCGCACATGGATTACAAGCAGCTCTGGGTTCGCTAGCAGACTTTGCGGAACGTGTGTGGGGTTTTCTGAGTGTCAAAGAGGGGCTGCGGTCACGGCTTCTGCGGCCAACCCACCAGG